TTTTTTTTTTTTTAGTGTAGGAAGAGTTTATTGCAAGGTTACCATGGCAACTGGGCCTGCAGGCAAGCCAAATGCTGGCTCACTCTCCTACCAACCCCCCTGCAGCTCCTATTTCCCTGCTTTTCCTTCTCCTTTCACCCTCCTGATCCCCAAATGTATGTTACCTTCTCTCTAGAGCAGCAGCGTCCAACAGAAATATAATGCAGCCCCAAACGCAAGTCACAGGGCTATGTTACATGGGCTCTGGCAGCCTTCTGTCAATAAACAGAAACAGGTAAAATAAATTCTAAGAATAGGTTTCATTTATCCACAGAGAGACAAAATATTATCATTTGTGCTTGTCATCAATATAAAACAATTATTAATGAGATATTGAACATGCTTTTTTTAAATTTTTTTACTGATTGATTTGAGAGAGAGAGAAGAAAGGAGAGGGAAAGAGAGGGAGGGAAAAAGAGAGAGAGAAGCTGGCCTGGTGATCGAACCCGAAACCTTGGCACATGAGGATGATGCTCTAACCAACTGAGCTACCCGGTGGGGGAAAAGAAAGCAGCCGGGAGAAAGGAAGGAAGGGAGGGAGAGGGAGAAAAAGAGGGAAGGGAGATCTTCAGAGTAGCCAAAGAACATATATATACATAGCCCACGGACACTGACAACAGAGTGGTGAAGGCCAGGGGAGGGGTGGCGGGGGCTGGGTGAAGGTGGAGGGAATGGGGGACATCTGTAATAGTGTCAACAACAAAAAAATGGCCTCCTCTCAAAGTAAGTGAATTTCCTTTAACATTTATTCTAAGGAGATAATTATTAATTTCCTATTGCATGTTGTTTTGGAACTCAATTCTATGGAAATACGAATGGACATACCGGTTGCCATAACCATCATAATTCAGTGTTCTGATTCTTAGGGTGATGATCGTCTCTGGTTGGTCATCAGAATCTTCTGAAGGAGTTAAATAATATGAATGTTTGGAACTAACACTTCACTGATTTGTCTCCTTAGATCTGGGGTGAAGCCCATGCACCCTTGTTCTTTAAAAGCTCTTTTATAGGATTGAATGTTCAGGTAGCTAGTTGGAAGCTACCTGAAAGCTAGTCCTACTACTAGCTAGTAGTAGGAAGCTAGTCCTACTACTCAGGTTGTCAGGAGCATCTGTTGGCCCTCAACTTCCTCCAAGTCAGGCAAGAGAAACCAAAGGTTAGATATTTTATTTACTTTTATGAAGTAAGTCTCTTCCCTTAATTTAAGCTTCTTCTGAAAATGCAATAATTGTCTTATTGTTGAAAAGAGATTATGTAGGGATTATCTGTTTTTCCTGGATTGCTCGTGGGGTAGAAAAATTAGGTAAATATGGTGATACCCTGAAGCAATGTGTAACA